CGAGTCTTTCAGCGGACGCCATTGTGCGCCACAGCTCGCAGCCGCCGCTCCCCTCGACTTAACACTGCTGCAGCTGCAGCCATGGTAACATGCCGTAACACACGGTCATATCCACACTCATTTTTGCACAAATAAATTAGCGAGCCCTGCAGCGCTCTCACACGCTCACAATCCTATCACGTGCAACCACAGTGTTCGCAGCGATTGATGGCAGTGTGTGAGCTGCTGGGCCAGAGAGAGTGTTGCTTTTATCACTTTTATCACTTTATTAGTCTCTTAACTCACTTTGCAGGTTGTGCTCGCGCAACAGCGAGACAAAGTAAAAGTTACTGTTCATCTTGTTGTGTATTTAGTAAAGTTTTGGCTTTCTTTCACAATCCCCTGTGAAACGATCCCGGTTGAGTCCGACTTGTGAGCCCTTTAAAGTGATCGAGGGTTACAAGGTCGAGTCGAGTCTCATGAGGAAGTTTATAACTTAGTAAACTGACATGGCCGCTCGGAGGCAATCTGAAAAAACGGGAGTAACGGGCTCATATTTTGAAATAACTCCTGGAAATCAAGATGCCCGAAAACACAAACTCAACAGTGTCGAAAGCGTGAAAAAGGGAGATCGGGGGGGGGGCGACGACGCTTGCAGCGTCTTCACGGCTTCAAACGCGGACATGTCGCAGCCACTCTGACTTCCCTTATCCCTTTTTTGCTTTAATGCTCCCTCGTGGCGCATTAGCTCAGATCCCTGCAGCCTTAGAATTACAGCTATGATGTCAATACACATTGTTAGTGAGTGTGTCTGGAGTCATCATCACCATTTCTGCATATTTTAAGAGCTGCGAAAACACCATTTTCGACAACCGAGTCCGCAGGGCCTAAATCAAACATGGCGCCTTCTAGTATTAGTGTACGTCTACCAATGAGAGTTATATGTCAGGGATAAATGCTTACACTCCAACACATCAGTGCTAATAATACACTAACGTCACGTATTCATTCCACAGCTGCAAAAGACAATAACGTGGAGTCATACCTACAGTACCAGTCATCTGTGTATACTTGGAGGTGTTTGCATTGTGTGGATGTGTGCCGGCTGCAGAGCTGGAGCGCTGCCATGTTTAAGACACGGCACCATACAAGGACAAGTCGTGCTGCAGGACCGGTTTGTCTGCAGGGTGGCACCGCTGCAGGTGGAGCATCGAAAGCCCAATAACGTTACCGTGCTATGCTAAATGTTGGTTGTGCTACCTCTGCCCTTCCTCCACAGGGAGTACAGTCAAGCGTAAACCGCCAGTAAACGTAAGAGTAGAAGAAGAAGTACAGGTTGTAACAAGTCTCCTTGACCATCTCCCAGTCCTTTTCAGCTGATATTTGCCATGCTGTCCGAAGACAAAGGCAATATAAATACATGTCTCGGAGAACTGTTCAGACACCTGAGTTAAGTGTTCTAAAACCATCTCAAGCAACCGTAAAAGAATATTTCCGCGCAATTGACAAGGTTTTATCAAATGGTGCCGTTTCCATACAGCTTTTCTAACGCAATACTGAAAATTGTGCATGTGGAAACAAGAGGCCACGTGGATCCAGGATCTGTTGTTTTAGTCTGATCTGAATAAACTCTATTTACACACTAAAAGGTTTCTCATTAGAAGCTAATACGGCCGAGGGCTCGTCTGCATCATTTCAGAGGCGGACTGGGCCTCATCTGATTTGTAATAAAAGCACAATCCTGGTCCTGCAGGTCGGTCTAACTGTTCGTCCTTCCCTGAGCGTTCCCCTCATAATGTGTCCGTGTTTGAACATTTCAGAAATCAACTGAGCGAAAGTCTACAGAACATGAAAGGGGCTCTGAAAATGATCTGACGTATCTGTGTGTGAGAGAGAGAGAACGAAAGCACACAAGAGAGATTTATGGAGAAGTGAGGTCAAATATCTTCTTCCTAATAATAAATCACAAACACTGCCCCCTCCCCCTCCTCATATACAATCTCTCTCTCCATCCCCCACCCATGTGTTGACATAGTTTCCATGGTGAGGGGAAGGTGTTGACGCGTCATCACTGCATTCCTGCGAGCACACACACACGCACACCAGAGGAGGAAGAAATCCTTCGCTCTTTTACTTATATATACTAATGTGTATGTAATGTAGTATTACTTATAAATAGTAATACCACAGTGTAGGAACACTCTGTTACTAATGTTATTAATGCATTAATGTGTGCATCAACATGCTGCTGGGTAGATTGTGATTCGCAACCTCAGGGAATCAATAGTCTTCTCTTATCATGATAATTCTTCAGAATGTATAAATTGATGATATTTGTTATTATTAATCTAAACAAAGGAGTAAAAGTACAATATTTGCCTCTGAATTGTTGAGTGGAATTAGAATAAAATGGAAACACTCAATACCTCAAAGTTGTACCGACAGTACTTTAATAAAGTAAAGGGAGGGGTTTCCTGGCTCTAAATATTTAGGGACCCGGTGTTGGATTACTGTTTGTTTTGGGCCCTTTTTTACAGCAAGAACTGATTAAATTAACTCAGGCCTGCAAAGCAGAAACATGATATACATCTACCGGTGCTGAACTCTAATTGTTTATATGTTTAGTTACTCCGGAAATAGTTCAATAAGAGCCAGACTAGACACACACCTTATGAAAGCGTGGCTCCTTGTGCCTCGGAGCCACAGTGGAGCATTGTGGGTAAACCGAGGCTATACCGGTCAGAGCCAGAGCGGATGGTGCAGAAGCACCTGTAAGGGGTTTAGGAAGAAGTGAGCGTTGGTGTGAGAAAGAACAGCGACAGATCCACCGCTGCCGGAGTTGGAAGTTAATTGAAGTGGACCTCCTGCTGCTGGTGATGAGTGACCCGGCCACATGGACCCCGTCAGTGAGATCTCACCTCGGGCCAATCGTGCTGCTCCGTCAAGACTGATTTTAAAGCAACCTGCTCTGAAGGAAATACCGGAATCAATTCAAATGAATATGTATTATTCAAAGTAGCATATCAAGATAGAAAGAAGACATTTTTCAGAAGGTTTTTGGAGTTGAATCCTGCAGGAAACTCATTTGAATGCTCACCTGTGGGAAGCCAGTGAGGAATCATGCAATCGTAGCTGCAATAATGACCCCATTCTCTCGTAATTCTGCCAGCTTTATGGAAGTGCAACACCACTGTATATCTCTGGAGTACCATTTCTATAAAAATGGAGTGAAAATTGGATAAAATACATCACAAGTTAAAGTTTTTTGGATGAAAATCGAGTCATTTGCTTTTCCTTTTTTTTTGGAGCATTGGCACATCAGGAGACAAATCGGTTTAATAAACTGCTTGTATCCAATCCAAGGATTATTTTGGGGGGGGGGGGGGGGGTAGAAAAACACAGCAAACTACGGCGTTTAAACGTGCTAGAAGCAGACAGCAGACTGGTGCGATGGAGCCGAGGATGTTGGCTGTTTGGAGCTGCTGTAAACATCAGCCTCGATTACAATGAATACGAGAAAACGTGTCGCCTCTGGTACACTCTGGGGACAAACAGGCTGCTTGCCTCCTTGCACTGCTAAATTTTTCCATCTGAAATTCTTTTGTTATGTGGAGCAACCCTCAAGCTGAGACAAGTCGGAGCCGGTGGGCAACGCCACGGAATTTGTCATCTTCGACACAGCAGGGGTGAACGGTGGCAAACAGAAAATATCCCGTGCTGGTTGTTTTTAAATCACACGCACACCACCGAGTCAATTAAGGAAGACAATGTTGTGACGAGGCCACGAACGCACACATACACAGAGACGAGGAAACTGGGTCAAATGGACCCTGAGAGAGAGAGAGAGAGAACGAGCGCAAGTTAGAAGAGCCACAGACCCGAGCCAGTCGACACCGGATCTTTCTTTTCTCTCATCTCCATCTCATGTGGAGATGAGAGAATGAGAGAGTGATGGAGAGGAAGAGGATGGAGTGTTGTTTAAGAGGTGTAGAAGAAAAAAATCAAAACCAAAGAGAGCGACCGAGGTTTCTACTCATCTGCATTTCTAATGAAGAGTGAAAGAGAGACGAGTGTGGCGACGGGAAGCTAAAGAGAATCATAGAAGAAGAGATGGAGTGAGAGAGTGGTGACAAACACACAGAGAGAGAAAGACTATAAACAGGCAGAAAATAAATCCCTTAAGACTAACAAGGGGATGGGTGACACAGTATTAAAGACACGGAGGGGAAGAGGAAGAGATATAGCTGCGGTCCAATGTCGAATTAGAAAACATTTATTCTGATAGAAGTTTTTGAAGTTGTTTGCAAGCATAGGAAAACCTGATTGATGGCTTGCCCAGAGACGGAGAAGAAAAACCAAATTGGCCCACATTTGTCACAAGTCGCACAGCAAGAACTCTGATCACAACTACATCAGATCCTGTTGGAGGGGAAAAAAATGAATTCAACAGAAAGAGGGCAAATGTGGGCGAGCCTGGGCCACGAGGAAATAGCTACCGGAGTTATTCAGACAATAACTTGTAAGCAGCAGAAACACGTGAAACCAAAACACGTAAATGTTGCTTTGGCTGAAGCAGCGTGGTCATAAGAAACCCCCACTACAGGCTAATAGCTTAGTGATAACAATCAGAGCTGTTGCTGCTCTGTGGGTTGCAGGAAGAATTCAAAACAGAGCAGTATATCCTTGGAGTTGGCTTTGTGTACATATTTGGTTTAAAATGTAAAATGATTCTGCAGTGATAGCACCTCCTGTATTTAATTAACCAGCGGCCTTTACTAAAGCCCCTTTCCCACTGGACAAAAAACCCACCAACACCCACTAACACCTGACTTGCGTCTTCAGTGGGAAAGGTTCAAATCTGCTTTCATTCCTGGACAAATGTCTCTGGCAGTGACAGAAACAGTTTTTCTACCGTCTCTAAATCTCTGCTGCAAGCATTTTTTAAGATTTCCGCTTATCGGTAAAATATCAACATCTCATCGTCATAAAAACACAATTAAATCAGAACCAGTGAATTCATACATCTTACAAATCTATTTATTAAAAAAAAAACCAACAACATGATTCATCATACTGGTTGCGACAAAATGCCAAAATGAAAAGGACACTGGAGGAAGCTTGCAGTGGCATGTTCAGTGGTATCGATGCTACGCGTGTGTCGTTTCCTGTTAAGAGCATTTGGTACGGAGCCCTGTCGTTCACTCCTGCACGGTGAACGTGTGTTCATGATGGTGCCGAAACCCATCTGGAATACTGTGGAGTGGGTTTTATGGAGACGTATTGGAAGTTTCTGAAGCAACCGTCACCATCAATCAAGTCGAAACACACACAACGATATTTCTATGAGTGGCTTTTGCTTTAGTTATAGCAGGACGGCCACGTGTTAGCCGATGGTGTTACATAAACATCAGTCAGAGATGTTGATGGATTCGGGCCTTGTGTTCTGATTGGATAATAAGTTAAAGTTCTAAGGAGGAGACATCGTTCGTTTGTAACATCCGATCAGAAAACACCCGTTTTATGTCCCGAGTGCAGCTTCACGCGCGCTGTGACCTGACTACAGCCCGATATTGCTCATGAAGTTCGGATCGCTGCTTAAAATGCCTAAAAACTATTTAAAAAAAAAAAAACGCAAAACAAAAAGGCCTCTTCTTGCCCAGTCAGGGGAAGGAGGAAACGCAGCCTGGCACATCGTCTCACAAACAGGTCTGTGTGGATCCCACTGGGTTTGGACAGAAACTTGTTGGTGGAACTGCGAGAGTGGCGTTCACACAGCAGCCAACGTGACACAACGATTCATCCATTTGCTGTAGAAACACCACAGAAACTCAAAAAGATGTCTGCGGGAACGTGTCTGGTGCAAAAAGCTTCTTTCACAAATCAGCTGGTGATGTTTTTGTTCTACAGCTGTGAGTCGAGACCAAACTTCTTGCGTGTTGGATCGCTTTCTGGTTACGTTTCTAGCTAGTTTGAGGAACAGTCTGACATTTCTTGAGAACTGCTTGTTTGCCAGCGAGAGCCTCGCGAAACCAAAAAGTGACAACAGAAGGATTTACCAAAAAAAAAAACTCATCGAAGTCATGTTTAAAAGAACAGTTCAACGTTTTGGTAAATAAGCTTATTTACTTCCTGTTTTAGAGTTAGATAAGAAGATCAATCTCATGTCTGTGCGTCTAGTCAGAACATGGTTAGCTTAGCTTAGCATAAAGACTGGAAGAGGAGAGTTCTTATTCACTTTTAACAGAGCTAGGCTAGCTGTTTCCCCCCCACTTCCAGTCGTTATGCTAAGCTAGGCTAACCACATCCTGACTGGAGCTTCATACTTTTATGCACAGACTTGTTATTGATACAGATCGTCTCATCTTGGCACATAAACCCATTTGCCACAACGTTTAAAAACTGAGAAACATGCATGATTTTCCTGTTAAAACGTGGAAGTCATGTCGCTCACAGGTTTAAAAATCGGGATATTAATGTCAGAAAAACGTGACCCGGGAAAAAGGCTCGTGTTGCTCATGATGTCATCATAAAACAGTACATGCAACTCTTTGTCTCACATACTGCAGCACATCACTCACACACACACACACACACACACGAGACTCTGGTAAAACAACAGCAGGATACATTTCTGAATATCTAGAAAAGAAGAGTGCTTGCTGTCACCACTTTGAGTGGCTGTTCAAGTGTTGATCTGGCGATACCAACCAAGCACACCTCGGTTAGTTCAAACATTGGCACCACGTAGAGTATATCTCACACACAAACACACTGACTGCATATCTCCTTGTAAAGCTTAGAAATGTCATTTTAAAATCTCTTAATTTGCAAAAAACTAGAGCTGAGAATAAATCTGGTCCTTTAGGTAAAGGAGGGTATACTCTGGGGTGGTCGTGCGATACCACTTTTCGTTTTCTGGGACTTCAGCGGCCCGTATGAACGCGGCGTTCACTCCACGACAGAGATAAGGCTCAGGCTGCTGATTCAACGGGGAGACGTTGGCGGTGCAGATGCACGCCTCTCCAACCCCGAACCCAAACCCCCTTTGAATTTTCCGTGCTTCCTGAAACAACGGAAACTCAGCGGGGTTACGCTGGTGTGCCCTTCATCTGGTTGTTCTTTGCAGGAAGCGCTTGGCATCGGAAGAAAACAAAAAGTAGTCCATCCATGTGTTATCCCTAGTGGTTACAGAGGCAGCAGATCTGTTTAGTGGTCCTTTATTCCCAAGCGGCAGTGATGTCTCAGAAGCCTCCTGTTCCTCAAAAATTAAACTCCTCGGAGTGTCCTGTAGTGCTATGGTTTTAGTTATTATTTCAATGGATCTTCATAGAAATTGAAGTCCCATTGGTGCTTGTAAAAAAATCCCCTGCTCCTCCACTGCAGAGCTGAGGAAACCCTGCGTTTTTTTTTTTTATTCCCAACATCCGTCGCACGGAAACAACTGGGTGTCCCAGAAATCGTCTATGGGCGTGTGTCTGCCGTGTGCCTGGTGTTTCCTGTGAGCGCTGCAGTGGGTGGGTGCGGGGGAAAGTGTTTGTCAGTCCATCTCCAGGTCCATCAGTTTGTTGCGCGAGCGCGGAGTGTGGGTGGTGTTGCGGCAGCAGCACTGGGCGCAAACCAGACCCAGGACCAGAGAGAAGAGGCCCACACCTGGGGGACACGGGACAAGGTTAACAACGGAGGGGACACCATGTTACCTACACCACTAGTTCCTCTCCTGATGCTACTGCTCATCTGTAACCTTTCAATAGTGCGTTTACTTCTTCTACTGCCATTACCATAAGCATTACCCATCCGCCCAGTCAAGACATAGTTACAGCTGCTACAACTTCCCCCACACGGTAAAGGTGGCACTAGAATCAATATTAGAGGCCATTACAGCACCGGAACGACTCCGACATCAACTACAGCTGCCTCTAAGACCGTCCTTATGAATAGCAACTGGGGACGTCCCCAGCGCTTTTGCAGTGCCAGTTAAGGCATCTTTTATTGATTGTTATTGGCTATTTTAAGCCGAAACAAATTCAGGTTCTTGTCTTATTTAATTCCACTGTGCACCGACAGTGCCAGCTCTCAGACATGTGTCCTAAATAAGCGTGACCACTGTACCGTCAGCTCGTCTATCAGCGTCAGTGAGCCAAGTGAACAAAAAAAACAAAAAAACATTTTACACATCTTCTGTGACATTTTGCTGTTGGCTGGAAGCTGCATTTAAACTTTTCGGTCGTCTAACTCGACATTTCGTTGAGCAGAACAGCGACAAACCGGATGTTGGTGGGTTCAGTAGTGCCAATAAGAAAATAAACATGAAACGCAGGATGGTTACCTATTGAGGCTGCGACTCCATATAAGAGAGGCAGCTTCAGGGACTCCCACACTGCAGAGGGACAGAGAAAGACCGATGTGTTGTTTAATAGGAGCAGATAACGTAACAACTGATATTAGTTCTGTTGTAAAAACGAGTCCGTTATCTCACCGGCGAACCGGACTGTAAGGAAGACTCGAGATGACGTCAGCTCTCCGGCTTGAGTCCAGGCTCCCGTGGAGGCCGACAGGTACCAGGGCGTGGCGACGCAGTGATACTCCCCACTGTCACTGGAGACCACACACACACACACACACACACACACACACACACACACACACACACACACACAGTAAGAGCTCTGCGGCGTGTTCGCCGACGACCCGCCGCCCGTTTACCCACGAGCACACTCACCTGTCCTGAGTGCCGTGGATGTTCAACGTGTAGGTGTGCGTGTCTTTGCGCTCCACCGAAACGTCGCTGGACGAGTTGCGAGCGTCTTTCCTCACAACACCGAAGCGGTCGACGCTGGCCAGCTGGATCGTCGTCTCTCCGCCGCGCAGCCTGGTGAAAAACCAACGCACCTCGTACGCCAGGTCGTCTGAGAGAGAGAGAGGAAGAGGGGTTCAAGTGAAGCTGTGATGCGTGTTGCATGCGTGTTTTCAACCAATTTCCAAAGCTTAAAAGTGATTAAAAACATATCATTATGAAGTAAATATTGATTGCACAATGTGACAGCTATGGAACACCATCAGCGTTTAGATTGGCCATTGCGCACACATTTGCATAAAGCTTAGTGGTCGTGTCGGTGGCAGCGAGGGAGAGATGCCGAGCTGTTGGCAGAAGAGAATAAGTCGCTAAATTTGACGCTAGCAGTAGGAAAAAAGGGAAAGCGGTTGTGTTGTTTGCAACAATAATAGCACTTATAAAACTACTCCAGCTCAAAGCTAGGAGTGGATTAAGACGTCACATTCAGCTCAGAGCATCAGCACCATCACGAAGGACAACCACCTCGGTTAAAAAGCAAACATTAAAAGACACATTTCCCCTTTTAATGTTGCATGACATCACTTCCTTAATGCAATGCAAGGTAAACCACAGGGCAGTTAGTCATGGAGAGGAGGGCAGCTTCATTTGACGGAGCAGTTAGAGAGAGAGGCCGACTGGTGAAAGGGTTGTGATAACTTCTTTTTTATAAATCGGTTGGACTTTTGAGTTGCTCCCACATGTGCAGGATGACATCACCGCTGAAGAGGCGAAAAGTCTTTAAGTCACGAAGCTAACATTTACTTTAGCCTGCAGTTAGTGTTGTTTCACACAGAATGATTTGTGCTGCATTGTGACGTTTTTTAATGCGACTCTACCTCCAGTATTTACGGAGACGCGTTGCTGCGCTTATTACGACACGGAGAGAGCGTTATCTTTGGATGTTCAGTACAATGCAGCCCCAATTCCTCTATGATGGCTATGATGATAACACACACACACACACACACACGCGCCAACTGCTGTTCCTTCTCCAATCGAAGAAGATAAAAAAAAAAAAAGAAGATGGACATGTGACAGATAAAGGAGGATAGTGATGACAAAAGAAAGAAAACAGGGACAAGGGGGAAATTGTGATAATAGATGTAATCTTTGGAAAGGGGGTGAGTGAGCTAATTATTTCCAAGAGCAAGACATGTAGAGAGAGAGAGAGAGACAGGGAGCAGGAGAGACAGACAGAGAAGCACAAACTAGTCATTAGTCTGTCAGGGAGAGAGGGACGATTAGCACTGTACCTCCCACACACACACACACACACACACACACACACAAAAACCCCATGCAGCCTGAGTCATCCTCTGACATTTACGAGACAAATAGAGGATACAGATGAAAGAAATTATAATAAAGAGAACGACAACGCGGAGGGAAAAAAAGACAAACGATGATGAAAAGCAATTACGGCAAAAAAAAAAAAAAAAAAAAAAAAAAAAAAAAAAAAAAAAAAAAAAAAGGAAAGAATGAGAGATGGAGACATGAGGAAGAAGAGAGTATAATGAAGAGGGGAGCGGAGTGAACTCACCCACAGCAGAGTAATGAATCACATCTCAATTCCTCTCTTCCCTAATGGTTTTAATATTCAAGTGCTACATCATTAAAAACCAGTAGTAGCATGAGCAGCAGCAGCAGCAATAACGCCGGCCTTGGTTTTACTTCAGTGTCCCGTGGTCTCTTTATATTGATCTTTATCGGGAAACTTTGTCCGGACTCGAGAGACGGATATCCTCCTGCCTGCTGGCCACGCTTTCATTACGCCAAACCCCACGACTGGTAGGTTGTCACTCAAAATGTTCATTTTAGCACATTATTTCCTTATTATGTACAATGTAATATGTCCATTTAGTAAATAAAATATGATGTTATTGATAGTATTGCATGCTGCATGATTTATAATGAATGCTGCATTGTTTCTAAAGTCTGGAGCTGCAACCATCAATCGATTGGTCGACGGAAAATGAATCTAGAATTAAACATTGTGTTGTAAACGCATGATAAAAGGAACCGACTTCCTGCTTCTGCTTTGACTACTACTGCGTGCAAAGTGTTCCTGTGCATTCAGGGATTATGAGTGAACATTTGAGGTGCTCTCACTGTCAGTTTCACCTCTAAATAAAGCCGATTATCTTCAACCGTTGGCTTGTTTACAACCTGTTCTCGTAGCAGTGCCACGCTCCCAGTTATCATAACCGATAGAGCATAAATTAGACGTTTTCCCCATTGTTGGTAACTTTGTATTTTCATTTTATTTGTTTACAAGCAGGTAAAAATAACTCCTTATTGTGAGCGCAACACATTTCAATATATTTACTTCTGATGTCAGGATGTATGACAACAGTTTTAATGCCTTATATAATCACTGTGACTATATTCTTATATAATCACATTTAAAATCTGCCGAGCTGACAGTCAAAGAGAGATGCGCTTCTCCGACGTTCCGATAACACCAGGTTAGTGTCCGACATCGCCGTTAATGATCAAAGACGCGTTTTGCATAATTCTGCAGGACTGACGCATGAACTCTGGCTGCTTGTTTCGGAGACGACACCCATATTTTTCGAGGAACGGAGCTATAATTAGACAGCCTCTGCTTTCTCACAGTTAGCTTCCACCCTTTACTTTCTTTGTTCTTGACGGCGGCGAGGACGGAGACCGAGGATGACGGAAGGGGATTTGAAAATACTGAGGAGGATTATTTTGGATTATTTTGTTTATCGCGGAGCCAGAAATCAACAGCAAAGGGGCCCTCAGCAGTGCCAGCACATCTTTGGAGAGCTCGTAGTATCGGCAGAGACACCCCTGCCCCCCCCTCTTCATGGGAAGTGCTGCTAGAGGAGTATCTGATCCCCCACCTGCAGGCTGACAAACAGCCTCTTGCCCACAGCTGTTCCTCTGCTCAATGCAGACCATACGGACCTCTTCCCCCCTCCTCTATATGAACTCTCTGACTCTTTGATAAGCCGGCTATTTCCACAATTCATGTGCATGCAAACAAAATATTTACAAATGGCCCCTCGTCTGTCCCCGGTGGAGACGGAGCCTGCTGGTCCTGGCCTCAGTGCGAGGGGGTCCGTCGAGACCGGTCTTGAAACACGGACCGCGTCAGCCTTCAGCCGAGGTCAGACGGCATGCCGAGCTAAGAAAATCCAACAGAGCTTGCGAGAGACTTGTGCGGTGTGTGAGGATAAACAAAGCTGGAGGAGGATGAAGATACATCAGAAAAAATATCTATAATATCACCAGACTTCTAGACTACGTTTGGTGAAACGGCACACAGCGATGGTGACGTTCAATGAGTAGGAACACTGTCAAAAGTTTTTGGTGGGCGTAATGAGCCGAGCAGTCGCACGTTCACAACTTTGTTAGCTTCATTACTAGTCGCACTGTTTGAGCTTCAATAAGCAGGGAGGGAGGAAGACCCTGGTGGTCGGACAGCTGAGGCGGAGCTACAGTACATCTCTAATAGAATATCTGGCTCCTGTCTGGGCTAATAAAACTAAAATGGCTGTCTGTGGAAATGAAGACAGTCTGATTGGATTTCTCTGGATTAATCCCTGGAGGAGAGTCCAGGATTTACAACTGCCTGAAACACACACACACACACACACAAGACTGACAATTACCAGCAGAGCTTCTAATGAAACTGTGTGTGTTCTCTGCTCCATAAAGCAGGACAACCCTGGTAGAGTGGAATACTAAACACTATAAAAACACTATTTAGCCTCACAGAAACAAAGTCGCTGGGAAGCAAAGTCCCCGTCTGACTCGCTGAATGCTGAATAAGACCTCCAGCAAATGAGTGCAAATTTCATGTGATATTCGCCGTGTTTAATGCAGACGCATTCTGAATACACAACGTGAATTTGCGGGTTTGCATTAGTTCAAATGTTGTTTCCGTCTTTCCCAGTGTGGAATTAACGGATCTATCTCTAATATCTATGAATTAAAAACTACAGCAACACCATCTTTAACTTGTAAGCCTTTAAATAAACGATTTATCCGATTTTTGGTTTTAATTCTCAGCAATTCATCGACTCTTCTTAATGTAATGATTACTCCTGATTTACTTCTTTTTTTTTGGCTCACACAAGCACAGAACACAAGCATTTGACTAGAAAACAAGTCAAATACATTTCCAACGCACAAGGTTTCAAACTGCAAGTGAAGATGTACATATTAGTAAACATCTAACTTCCATCTCTTTGTGATATCTGGTACAAAAGCAGCTTAAGTCAAATACAAACTGCTGTTTATATTTGGCACCTAAATCAATCGACGCCTGTCCTCGGACCTTGTGACACACGTGTGGTTTCTCCTGTTGAATGTCCCCATTGACTTCCACTGTAAACCTAAACGGAAGAAAACTTTTCGAAAAAAAAACCCTGCGGAAATTGGCCATTTTGGAGGATTCCTTTAAAGCTGCATGTTCGCTCCCATTCCTGTTTAACTGGAAGACCTAATGGAGTGAAAATTATGGCACCGCTCTGCTGTTTAGCTCAACATTTTCAATTTGTGTTTTACCGTCCTTTCCTCTCCCAGCTCTCTCTTTTATGTTTGGATCGCCACCATTTGCTCTACTTTTTTTTTTTTTTTAACCATAAACATCCAGAGTGAGACGGCGTTTGATGTTTTTCAGTCGAGACTCTTCTTTCGCTTCTGCCGAGCAGCTGAAAAGAAGTGGTAGTTTTGATTCCTTGCCACTGAACACTAGAAAGACACTTTTTGACAACAGATGAATAGATAGTGAGAGAATGGAACCGAAACGTAAATAGCATGAAAGCTAGTTTGCACCGAGAGCTTTTCCATTCATGACAAAAGAGGCCTCATCTGCATTTCTAACCGTTCACAACTCAACTTCCAGCGTTATTAAAGCTGCTTTATAGACTGGGGACACTGGTGGCTCCAACTGGAACCATTTTAAAATAAGTTCACCAGAAACAATTAATGGAGTGAGAATCATTACGTCTTTCTGCTCTCATCCCCTCACCAGTGTCCATCCTCTCCGTTCAACAGCTCTTCCCATTCTTCCTCGCCGGCTCTCTTTAGGAAACTTTGCATGCTGTTTCCGAGCCACTCTTCCTCCATTTGCTGCCTCCTCCATTCACTCTCTTCCACTCTCGCTCACTTTAACAATCTGTTTAGCTCCCTCCACTTCTCCCCTATTCACTCCCACCTTCTCTCCATCTCACCGCCTTTTCTTCCTCTACCTCGTTCCGTCTCCCCAGCCGGCTAACGGAGCGTGAGATTGGCTAATTAACGGCTGCCTGTCGGCCCTGCAAAGACAGCTGGGTAATTTGGTGCGAGTAGAGAGAGAGTGAGGGAGGAGAGGAGGACATGAGGAGTAGAGGAGCCAAAAGAGGACAGAAGGATGTGTCATTAAACTTACCACACACAGTTATTTTTAAATATGGTTCAGGTTGCCAGGTGCTTGGCAAAAATCCCTTCACTAGAACTGGTTCTGCACTCATTAAAATGCATGGGTGCTAATTGCAGCCATTACTGAACGACGTACTTACAGGTGAGAAAGCGTGCCTGAAAGAAACAGCGAGGATTGAACAAGGTCCATATAAAAAAAAAAAAGATGTTCAGCTTCAAGCCAATCAGGTACAGCAGCGATATCGTTCCTTTGGAGTCGTGTTTGTGGTCACCTGACCTGCAGTGACTCTTTAGATGCTCCACTGTGTTCAACAGCTAGTCGCTAAGTTCATCCATCTGCTGTTAGATGCTGGGCAGGTAGCGTACAGTCGGTTTAGAAGAGGCCCTTGTACTGAACACATCTGCCTGCTGCAGCTGGAAACAACGCCGAGAGCAAGTGAAATGTGCCGTAACACCAGAACAACGAGCTACAAGGAGCTAAAGCGTTCCTCAGAGCTGAGGGGAACGGCAGAGTTGGGTCTCTAGCACACATTCGATAACAGAAAACTAGCGATCGGTGCAGCTGTAAGGCTCAGCTTGATTTTGATCGGCAGCAACACGTGCTGCTCTGCAAGAAAACGTCAGACTTTTATAAGTCAGTCAATTAAGTCATTAAATATTGATGAAATGGTAATCGCTTTGATCATGTTTGCAATTATCCCTTAAGTAGAGCTGCAATGATTAATTGAAGTATTTTTTGATGATCAATCTGTTGGAGTATTTATTTAAGAAAAGAAAACATTCACAACTCCAGTTTCCTAAAAGTGAATATTTTCTGGTTTCTTTACTTCTCTATGACAGTGAACCGAATATCTCAGGTTTCTAACATGTGCACATGTGTGTTCATTTAGAGATGCTTTTCAAGTACATATATAACAAACATTACTGATACAGAATAGTTTTAAAACAGAAAGCTTAAGATTACAGATTGTCATTTGTGAACACAAAGGTTTAGTTTACTTGATTAGTCCCTTAAAACAACTAAATCTAAATTAAATCATGGTGAGTGACTGTGCCTTATTTTACTGGCATAAAGGGAGTGTCTGTGTGTGAACCAGTGAGGTACAAAGCTTTATTTTCTCCAAGGAGGATCAGAGGAGTATGCAGTTATTCTAACAAAAGAATTCTCAGCAGAAAGAGAAAAAAAACCCCCGGCAATATGCAGAAGAAACCCAAACTGTCACGGCTTCAGTGCTTCAAAACAGTAGGGAATAATATCTCTTCTGGTGATGTCATCTCACTACCACTGATTTCAAAGTATGCAGCATCTCACAAGCGCACGCTGCCATGACATGCCAGTCATTCCGCCGGTGATGGATGCCGTGTGTCCGCACGCTGCAGCACGCCGAGATAACACGTCACGGCGAAACGACACGGGGTCAAAGAGACAGAAGGAGCCAGACGAGCACAAAGCATGCCGATACAGTATCGATGGTTGTAGAAACTGAGGAGGGAATCAGCTCAAACCTGACAACAACAAAGACGGCAGTGATCACAAACTAGGGAAGCAGTCCTCACTAAATGAGATGGATTTGACATAGTTACGCACGTTCAATTCTGCTCTCAAATCTCCAGACAGGAAGTGATGAAAGAAGCGACTGAAGTCGGAAAGTGAATAGCAAGCCACTGATCATGTCTGGAGCTCTCTCAGGCAAAAACACCGCGCCGGATTACCTACTAGCTACAGTCTGGAGGTGTCAATGAGAGAAACTGATAAGCGCAGCTTAATGTAAACAAGTTTAAAAGTCTGAAACTACAGTCTCGCAAAGCTACAATCTTCATTACAGCCAGCAATACGCAAATGCTGAAACAATAAACTGACGATTTAACCCGCTGGCAGGTTTGAAAAAAAGCACGTTTCCTGTTATATATTTATTTCCAAAAGGTCCTTGAAAGAATCATGTGTGACGATGATGATTGACTCGCCAGAGACCAACAGAAACGTTGAAGAGCAGGCGGTTTACACGACACGGAAAGGACAAGAGAGGAGTTGAGTAGTAGAGGTTGTAAAAATGAAAGCAGTTCAAGATGTGTGGCATGTGGATTAACCCGATGACCCAAAGTCCAGCCGCTCTATCTGCAGGCCTCGCTGCTAGAGGGGAGGGACTGGAAGTGGTACACAGGCGAGTCTCTCTAATCCGGGTTCATGTAAGGTCTCAAACACACACACACACACACACACACACACACACACACACACACACACA